GAACAATACATTAAGAAAGAGAATTACAACATACGACGAATATACGTTAATAAAATCCGCGTATATTCGACGGATGTAGATAACTGTGATAAACACAAACAATATACACTGAATACTGATGTAATTATTGAAATTAATGAGTGAGCGTTTGGTTAGCGTAAATTGTGAAACGCGTGCATTCTGTTTTTGTATGAATTTTTACCTAGAATGTCTTTCTATGTAAATATTGTAAATACTGTCTCTCCATAGACTTATGGAGTTTTTTTTACAAATAGATAATTGTTCATTACTGTCTTCATTTTGGGTATGCATCATTAGGTGTACAAATAAGTTTTAGGACACTTCGATTCCGTGTCATGAAAGTAATTCAAAGTTACCGCTTACATATGATATGGTGGGCTTTGTTATATAGTATCAAAACATAAGGGAGTCATAAACATAACCTTAAATTCTGTGAATAAAACATACAGACCGATAAGCTATTTATTAGACACTGCATTCGCTATGACTTCAATCAAGGAAAAACTGTTAGGAAAGCATGTCAATCGATTTGTTCTGTTCTCGGGGACAACATTGTATCTAAAACTACATGTGAGTATTGGTATAAGCGATTTAAAGAAGGTGATTTCGACGTTTGTGACCGTGAACCTACCGGGGCCCCTATAAGGGTGGATGACCAGGAACTGCAAGCGTTGCTGGATGAAAACTCTTGCCAGACGGAAAAACAACTTGCAAAACAGCTTGGAGTAACTCAACAGGCCGTTTCCTATCGCTTAAATGCAATGGGAAAGATTCGAAAAGGAACAAAGTGGGAGCCACACTTTTTGACTCAAGAAAATAAAGATAGCCGACTTGACATATGTCTGAATCTTTACAATAAGCAACATAGAAAGGCTTTTTTGTGGAAAATTGTGACCGGCGATGAAAAGTCGATTTATTTTAATAATCCAAAACGCAAACATCATTGGGTTAACCACGGCGAGCCGACGACATCGACACCGAAGCGCAATATTCATTGTAAGAAGATCATGCTGTGTATATTATGGTGGCCCATTTTACGGGTATTCCTGAATATTTCCGATTTCGCCTCAAAAAATGATTCTTCAGTTGATAAAATACCCCTGTGAATTTTTTCATATTTTGAAAAAAGCATTTTGATGGTCGCGCCGTGCGTTTAAAGTTTGACTAACATTTTTGACCTACTGGCAGTAGAGTTAATAAAACTTGCGTAGAAGTTAAATATCCTCAATGATACACCCGTGTCAGGTAGTAAGTATGGCACCGAGTGAGGGTTCGGGTGTGTCACCCAGGTAGTATGTCTCTTACAGTTGCAAACGGTACCCGGAAAAGGCTTTAGAAAAGGAGAAACCCATTGTTAATGTACTAGTAACTAATGTTTTTTTGGTCGATAGATATTGACACGAGGATCCAATTTTTTCCATGGTTTTTTCCATTTCGAGTGGGGCGCATATAATAAAAACACTTGAAAAACTCTTTCAAAAGCCTTCTTACTGATTTGTGAGAAAATGGTCAACTTTTTTTCAATTTTTTATAAAATTTATTTTTAAAGTTCTCAAAAAGTTCTACATTTTTTGTCTTATCATTTTTTGTTTTCTTATTTAATCACGTCCTGAGCTAGTAATTTCAATTTGTTTACAAATATTATTGAAAAATGGAAGCGCTAGTGGCTTTTTTTTCTTATATACCGACTGATATTTTGTAACATTTAGATGAAATTTTGTAAATAGTTTTCATGTTTTTTCATGATGCATTCATAAAGGAATGATAATAAAGGACGGAAACCTGTGATAACTGGTTCGTCAGTAGTGCTACAGTCGGCAGAATGGGGGTCTAGGAGTGGTGGAAGAGAAGATTGCATTCATTAGATCCGGGAAATAATCCATCAACCTTTAATGTAGCAATTTTTTAAAAACTTCGCCTTCTTTTTTTTGTTTGTATTATTTAGTCTTTGATTATTCTCGATATATTGAAAATTGGATAGTCCTCATGGACAAAATATATTTTTTCAATCTGAAGGAAAACGAATGAAATTAATTAAAATGGTTCGAAAAATAATGATATAAAATAGAGTTGAAGGAAATAAGTATAATTGACCTTCTGAGTTGAATAAACGCTCCCAGGATTCCTTCGGATTAAGTTAGATTTGTCTAATGCCTTTTTTGTTACAAATGTAGTTGACATTTCTTTCAAATATATGGGAAATATAAAAATCTCAATATATCAAAAATCATCAAAAAGTAAAAAATTTTAAAAACCAAAGACAAAGAAGGTATTAAAAAGTTGATACATGAAATATTGAAGAACCATTTTTCTGGCCTAATGAATGGAATCCCCTCTTCCACCACTCCCTGACATTATCGTGGATTTTCCTTGCCTCCTTCTGCCACCTGAAGCGTAATACTGACGCATTACAGTCTTCATAGAAGGTTTTCCTCTGTTATTATCGTTTTTTCATGAATGCAGCATCCGAAAAAATGAAAGCTATGTACAAAATTTCAGCTAAATCTTAAAAGCTACCAATCAGTAGGAAAAACAGCTACTAATACTTTCATTTTTAATAACATTTATAAACTAATTGAAATTACTAGTTCAGGATGTCTCTAGACAAAAAAACGCCGAAAACAAACAATGTACAACTTATTGAGAGCTTCAAAAAAGCATTTTGAAGGACTTTTAAAATTTTTAAAATTTTTTCACAAATTATTAAAAAATTGACCGTTTCCTCACAATTTGCGAAAAAGGTCTTTTTAGAGGCTTTTTGTTACTGTTTTTCTTATACAGGGTGTCCCTGAAGTACATGCCGATCCGAAACCGGCAGGTTCACGGGGTGATTCTGAACAGAAAAGTCCTTTTCCAGTTTTTGATCAGAAGCACCCCTGAGAAGTTATTAGGGTGAGAAGGACAGCCAATGGCGCTAGAGCGTTCAGCTGCTGTACGTCCGTGGGGCTGTGCGCATCAGTATGCGTGATGCCCCTTCCACTGAGCAGGAGGCGGGATAGGGTTCCCCTTCCACTCGTGAGCGAGGAAGAAAACGAACGATACTTCTCTGTCGCTCTTATTATGTTTTTGGAGAGGATTACGAAAGAGAAAAAAAATGATTCTTTCCTCTCTCGCTTTGAGTAAACAATTAATAATTATTAATTGTTTACGGAATTCCCAGAGCTCTGATTTGGTTATTTTGGTGGAATTTTGCTGAAAAAAAATATTTTTGCAATTATCGCGTAAACAAATGGGTTTACAGCATTTTGCAAAAAAAAATTGTTTGAAACGCAACGAAAATTCCAGAACATTCTGGTCGACCATCGGCCTACTTCGAAAATCTCCGGGACCCTTCGAGTCATCAGTCATAAGTCACCGAAACACGCGCGAATCAGTTTAGGCTTAGCCTCTCACCGTATAAGTCTATCTCGAGCAAATCACCTGTAGACGCTGTATAGTATCCATTCGTATTTCAACGAGTTCACATCAACTAAGTAGTAGTCTCTCAACTAGTCCACAAGTATTAAGTAGAACTCAACGAGTAATTCAACGTGTAGTAATTCACCGAATAGTTATTAACGAGTATTAATTAACATTAGTAAGAGTTCATATCAAGAAGTCGATTCAGTCAATTAGCATTCAAAATTGAATACCTTTATGCAGTACATCACCTCTATTGGTTAAATTCAGTTTAAATTCTGTGACTTACCAAATTAACGTGCAAAGCCAATCATCAGTGAAATTAGACTCTCACCAGTGAACTTACATATTACCAAAGAGTGTACATAAATTTTGACAAAGTGGTTCGATTCCACAAAATAAAGTGTGATTTTTTAAATCCGGCTCATCACTAATTTTCCCAACCACATCTCCCTCCACATTTTCATCCCACATCCACCCTAAATCTAGTCATTCACCAAACAGATATTTTTTGTTGTAAATTAAAGTTACCACAAAAAAGGTCTTTTGACAAAATCCAATAAAATCCTTTGTTCAAAAGATAATTCACAATCAAACGATGACCTCAAAAATGGGAAGAGGTTTTCGATTTTCGTGAAATTTTGTTGAAAAAAATTGTTTTGGCAATTATCGCGTAAACAAATGGGTTCACCGCATTTTCCCAAAACAACTTGTTGGAAATGCAGCTTAAAATCTCCATATTAGCTTATTATCTCCATATCACATGGCCGAGTTAGTCGACCATCTCCGAAAATCTCCGTGACCCTTCGGGTCAACGGACACAGGTCAGCGCGGCACCCGGAAGAGTCATCAGTAGTGTTCAAGTATCGTCACGATAATGATCTAGTGTATTCAGTCAATCAGTATTCTAAATTTAATATTTTGTTCAGTACATCAACTTGTTGATTAATTTCAGTCTAAATTCAGTGACTCAACTAATTAACAGTGAAAGACAATCATCAATTTAATTAGATATTCAACAATTAAAACCCAAAGAGTGTAATCATTTTTACAAGTGGTTCGATCCCACATAAATATAGTGTGAATTTTTATAATCCGCCTAAAGTAATTTTCCCAACATCTGCCTCCACATTTTCATCCCACATCCACCCTAACCCTAGACATTCACCAAACAGTGGTCCTTCGAGCCGGATTGTGGGTGAAAAAGTGTGTGAAGTGCTTTGGAAAATCTAAGGGACGCCTCGTGTCGAATAAACTTTCGGGGTTCGCACGGGCAATTCAACGGAAAGTTCTAGAACATTCGCTTTGTTTACACCCGCAAGGGGACGGGGTAACAAAGGACACAGTGAGTGCCTCAGTATCGGAGATCGGAAAGAATCGGGAGTGACGAGTGCCGCCGAAGCCCACCAACACTTGGCCACGTGCGCCACGCAACAGGCGACTCACCAAAGTTCGGCGGTCGGTAATTCACCCAACTCTCAGCGGTCGGTAACTCACCCAACGCTCAGCAGTCGGTAACTTACCCAATTCTCAACAGCCGATAACTCACCTAAACCGACAACTTAGCATGGACACTCACCATGGCAGACGACACTAAGGTCAACGAACCCAAGGAAGAAACACAACAAACAATGAGCGATAGTGAGGAAATCGAGCAAGTCACACAAGAAGACGGACTGCCAGCAAAAAATGAAGCAGTTACAACGAAGCCAATCACCACTCCTGAGGAAATCAACAGTCCAAGTGGATCGTCAGGATCAAAAGAGCCTGCTCAACAAAAGTCAACGCCTGCAGCTTCAAAAACAGCACTCACAATGCAGCAGGAAGGTCAATTAAGACTATTAACATTCAAGGTAGAGACTCTGATGAAGATCTATCATGACCTTCCGCAGGACGTTGAAAGCGAAGAGGACCTCACCCTAGAGGAGTTAGACGGGCACAAAAGGATAATCGAGGCAGAATGTAAAGAATATTTTCAAATTTATGCCATTCTAGCCAAGTTTTTTCCCCCCGAGTGAGTACGTCACCGAGAGGATACATCAACGAGTCACCAGGACAAGACGACAAGCCTTGATGCTCATTGTTCGACTGAAGGGTCAACTTGCGTGCAAAGCTGTTATCAACGAAGGAAATCAACACAGCCACGAAGGAGTCAGCTCCACCAAAGAAAAGGAGCACCTATACAGCAGCAGCTCACCAGCAGGAGACTAAGGAGCCAGAAATACAACTTCCCAGGAACTGCTGTGCCTACTGTCAGGACAAGCATTTCATCGCATCCTGCCAGAGGTTCATTGAGCTCACCCCAGCTAAGAGAAACTACATCATTATCACCAAGGGGCTGGGCTTTAACTGCTTAGGGCCACACACGAAGGCCAAGTGCACGTCGGACAAGAAGTGCCACAAATGCAGCGGGTACCACCACACTCTCATCCATGGAGGGAGCTCATGGATGATGAGCCCGCCTCCAGCACGACGCACTCCAGCTGAGCCCGTCCAGACTGTCGAAACGTCCAGGCAGCAAGAGGATCACGAGAACAGTGAGTGAATGAATTCAACCTCAATAGCACACTCACCATCTCATTGATTATTCCTCAACATTAGAATCCAGTACATCACCACCAGTAGCAGTAAACTTCAACAAAAAAATGATCAATGAGAAAGCAGAGAACATCAACCACGAAAATCACCAAGGAGAAGCAGATCAACATTCAGTGCTGTTGGCAACAGCACGAGTAAAAGTAATATCAACGAGAGGATTCACGACAAAAGCCAGAGCACTCATCGACCAGGGTTCAGAGGTATCGTTCATCTCCGAACAATTAGTTAATCAACTGCATTTACAGAGAAGAGCATCAACAGTGGAGCTAGTGGGAATTGGTGGAATTAATTCAGGACACACCAGAGGAATAGTCTCACTCACTCTACAAGCGAGCCACGGGACTCATTAACTGCAACTCAACGCCCACATTCTAAAGAAGCTCACCGCAATAATTGCGTCATTTTCATGCTCATCAGCGAAGATTGGCTCACTTCAGAATCTTCAGCTAGCCGATCCCCATTATCTAAGGCCTGGACCAATCGACATCATACTAGGGGCTGACAACTATGGGCGAATTATCATGGATGAAGTTGAGTCAGATCAATCGAGAGTAGTTGGCCAACGCACAGAATTCGGTTGGATACTATCCGGACCAATCGAATGCACAAATTGTTCAATAAAGGTAACTCTATCAGCTGTACGAGAATCTTCGAATGAACAACTTCTAGAGCTTCTCCAGAAATTTTGGGTCCAGGAAGAACTGCCAAACGAGAGATCATCAATATCAGAGCTTTCACCAGATGAGCACGAGTGCGAGGTGCACTTTAGAGCAACTCATAGCAGAGACAACACCGGGCGATACATCGTGAGACTGCCCCTCAAAACTTTAGCAGCAGTGCTCGGAGAATCGAAATTCAAAGCAGCACGTCAACTCAAATCGATCGTGAGTCGACTCAACACAGATCAAGCATACTCCCAGTTGTACACAGAGTTCGTCAACGAGTACGCAGCACTGGGGCACATGAGAATAGCACCAGAGACTCCAGAACCCGTGCCAGCCTACTATCTTCCACATCACGGGTTACTGAGAGAGGAGGCTATCACAACGAAGCTGAGAGTCGTATTCAATGGCTCCAGCCCCAGTTCATCAGGTGTGTCACTTAACGATATACTGTATTCTGGTCAAAAATTGCAGAACGATGCCATGGTTATTCTGACTTGGATGAGGAGGCACAGGCTCGTGTTTGGCACGGATATTGTCAAGATGTTCCACCAGATACGAGTTCACCAAGATGACTGGGATCTTCAGAGAATCCTATGGATCGACGAGAATCAACAACCAGTCACCTACCAGTTAACGACAGTCACCTATGGACTAAATTGTTCTCCATGGTTGTCGCTACGTGTTCTTCAACAACTAGCAGAAGATGAAGGGCACCGCTTCCCAGCAGCAGTAGAGACACTCACCAGAGGTCGTTACGTTGACGACATTTACGGCGGTACAGAGACAGAAGACGGTCTCAAGGAGATCGCAATGCAAATACAAGGGCTTTGCCATGCAGGAGGCTTCTTTCTACAGAAGTGGAGCAGCAATTGTCCAGAGGCTCTGCATGAGTTGGGCCTATCAACTGAAGAAGAAATTATCCAGTTCGAGGAGTCAGTCACCAAGGTACTTGGATTGTGTTGGCATCAATACATCGACACATTCCGGTACAAATCAAAGGACTTCAATACGACGACAATCGCTAAGAGAGTAGTCTCTTTTGAAATAGCCCAGATCTTTAATGCACTGGGATTTATCGCACCAGTTGTCGTCCAGGGAAAGATTCTCCTACAAGATCTTTGGAGATGAAATTAAAATGGGATGATCCTCTTCCAGACGAGTATGTTCAACGCTGGAAGACATTCCGAGAGAATCTCAACCACCTAGACAGAGTAACTGTACCTAGATGGCTGAGAATTTTAACAGAGACACTCAACATCCAAATTCATGGATTTGCAGACGCTTCAACGGTAGCCCTGAGTGCAGTGGTGTATATTCGCACCAAAACCATCGACGACTGGACATCAACAGTGCTGGCATGCGCGAAGACGAAGGTAGCACCACTCAAGCGCATGACCATCCCTCGTCTAGAGCTCACAGCGGCTCTTCTACTGACTCAGCTAGTGNCCAACAACACTCACATTTGAGGAACTCAACAGTGTCGTGATCTAGATAAAGGCCTGTCTAAATTCAAGGCCAATCTGTCCCATGTCATATGACCCAGACGATCTCCAAATACTCACCCCAGGACACTTCCCGATAAGTGAGCCGTTTCAACTGATTCCAGGGCCATCAATCATCGACATGAACCCCAGCAAAATGCAGAGATGGAACCTTGTAACGCAGCTAACTCAACAATTCTGGTCCAGGTGGGCCAAAGAGTGCCTTCAACGTTATCAAGCAATCTATAAGTGGACACATCGAGAAGAGAACATCCAAGTTGGTGACATGGTGCTGATGATCGACGAAAATTATCCACCAGCACAATGGTCAATCGGACGAGTCATTGCGACACGCCCAGGAGCAGATGGGCTAACGAGAGTCGCAACTATAAGAACCGCAAAAGCAGAAGTACCAAGGCAGGCAGAGCCTGCCTGATAATGCCTGTTCTGATGTTTTGTGGATTGGATCACCAATCATACAAAACATCAGAACAATCTACACAGAGCTTGACAGATCAATCACCAAATTTGGCCTACTGCCATCAGATCCACCACCTCCAGAGCAACCTCCAGACGATAATGCAGAAGAAGCTCAACAGGACTAGAATCACCATTAATTCATCATCCCTGATGATGAATTGCCCCCGGGGTATTCGAAATGCAGCTTAAATCTCCATATTGGTCACGGTCAACTAACTCGGCCATCTCCGAAAATCTCCGTGACCCCTCGGGTCACCGGACACAGGTTAGCGCGGCACCCGAAAGAGTCAGTCACATCAGTTGTATTTCAGTATCGTCACGATAATGATAGTAGAGTCAGTCTATTACTATTCCAAATTTAATATCTTTGGTCAGTACATCACCTTGTTGATTAATTTCAGTCTAAATTCAGTTACTCAAAGAATTAAAAGTGAAAAGACAATTATCAGTGCAATTAGACATTCAACAGTGAAAATACCAAAGAGTGTAAATATAATTGATAATTAGTTCGATCCCACAGAAATAAAGTGTGATTTTTGAAATCCGGCTGAACGTAATTTTCCCAACATCTCCCTCCACATTTTCATCCCACATCCACCCTAACCCTAGACATTCACCAAATAGACATTGAAGTCCTTCCATCTTGATGCGTGGCTCCTGATCCAAGCTAGTGTTACTGAAGAGTCAGACGAGAGATAGGTGTTTACCTGGTCGAGTTGGAGCATTTGCTTCATTGATGCCACTAGCTGAGTCAGTAGAACAGCCGCTGTGAGCTCTAGACGAGGGATTGTTATGCGCTTGATTGATGCCACCTTCTTCTTCGCGCATGCTAGCACTGTTGATGTTGAGTCGTTGAGGATTTTGGTGCGAACATACACCACTGCACTCTGACTAAGTCGTTGAGATTCTCTCGGAATGTCTTCCAGCGTTGAACATACTCGTCTGGAAGAGGATCATCCCATTTTAATTTCGTCTCCAAAGATCTTGTAGGAGAATCTTTCCCTGGACGACAACTGGTGCGATAAATCCCAGTGCATTAAAGATCTGAGCTATTTCAAAAGAGACTACTCTCTTAGCGATTGTCGTCGTATTGAAGTCCTTTGATTTGTACCGGAATATGTCGATGTATTGATGCCAACACAATCCAAGTACCTTGGTGACTGACTCCTCGAACTGGATAATTTCTTCTTCAGTTGATAGGCCCAACTCATGCAGAGCCTCTGGACAATTGCTGCTCCACTTCTGTAGAGAGAAGCCTCCTGCAGGGCAAAGCCCTTGTATTTGCGTTGCGATCTCCTTGAGACCGTCTTCTGTCTCTGTACCGCCGTAAATGTCGTCAACGTAATGACCTCTGGTGAGTGTCTCTACTGCTGCTGGGAAGCGGTGCCCTTCATCTTCTGCTAGTTGTTGAAGAACTCGTAACGACAACCATGGAGAACAATTTAGTCCATAGATGACTGTCGTTAACTGGTAGATGATTGGTTGTTGATTCTCGTTGATCCACAGGATTCTCTGAAGATCCCAGTCATCTTGGTGAACTCGTATCTGGTGGAACATCTTGACAATATCGGTGCGAAACACGAGCCTGTGCCTCCTCATCCAAGTCAGGATAACCATGGCATCGTTCTGCAATTTTTCACGAGAATACAGTATATTGTTAAGTGACATACGTGATGAACTGAGGCTGGAGACAGTGAATACGACCTCCTCTCTCAGTAACCCGTGATGTGGAAGATATTAGGCTAGCACGGGTTCTGGAGTCTCTGGTGCTATTCTCATGTGCCCCAGTGCTGCGNGGTGCGAAACACGAGCCTGTGCCTCCTCATCCAAGTCAGGATAACCATGGCATCGTTCTGCAATTTTTCACGAGAATACAGTATATTGTTAAGTGACATACGTGATGAACTGAGGCTGGAGACAGTGAATACGACCTCCTCTCTCAGTAACCCGTGATGTGGAAGATATTAGGCTAGCACGGGTTCTGGAGTCTCTGGTGCTATTCTCATGTGCCCCAGTGCTGCGTACTCGTTGATGAACTCCATGTACAACTGGGAGTATGCTTGATCTGTGTTGAGTGGACTCACGATCGATTTGAGTTAACGAACTGCTTTAAATTTCGATTCTCCGAGCGCTGCTGCTGAAGTTTTGAGGTACATTCTCACGATGTATCGCCCGGTGTTGTCTCTGCTATGATTTGCATCTCGCACTCGTACTCATCTGGTGAAAGCTCTGACGTTGATGATCTCTCGTTTGGCAGTTCTTCCTGGACCCAAAATTTCTGGAGAAGCTCTAGAAGTTGTTCATTTCAAGATTCTCGTACAGCTGATAGAGATACCTCTATTGAACTATTTGTGCATTCGATTGGTCCGCATAGTATTCAACCGAATACTGTGGAATGGCCAACTACTCTCGATTGCTCTGACTTGACAACTTCATCCATGATGATCCGCCCATAGTTGTCAGCCCCTAGTATGATGTTGATTGGTCCAAGCCTTAGATAATGGGGATCCGCTAGCTGAAGATTCTGAAGTGAGCCGGTCCTCGCTGATGAGCATGAGAATGACGGAATTATTGCGGTGAGCTTCTCTAGAATGTGGGCGTTGAGTTGCAGTTGATGAGTCCCATGGCTCGCTTGTAGAATGACTGAAGCTATTCCTCTGGTATGTTCTGAATTAATTCCAATTCCCACTAGCTCCACTGTTGATACTCTTCTCTGTAAATGCAGTTAATTAACTAATTGTTTGGAGATAAACGATACCTCGGAACCCTGGTCGATGAGTGCTCTGGCTTTTGTCGTAAATCCTCTCGGAGATATTACTTTTACTCGTGCTATTGCCAACAGCACTGACTGTTGATCTGTTTCTCCTTGATGATTTTCGTGGTTGATGTTCTCTGCTTTCTCATTGATCATTTTGTTGTTGAAATTCACTGCTACTGGTGGTGATGTACTGGTTTCTAATGTTGAGGAACGATCAATGAGATGGTGAGTGTGCTATTGACGTTGAATTCATTCACTCACTGTTCCCGTGATCCTCTTGCTGCCTGGACGTTCCGGCAGTCTGGATGGGCTCAGCGGAGTGCGTCGGGCTGGAGGCGGGCTCATCCTCCATGAGCTCCCTCCATGGATGAGAGTGTGGTGCTACCTGCTGCATTTGTGGCACTTCTTGTTTGACGTGCACTTGGCCTTCGTGTGTGGCCCTAAACAGTTGAAGCACAGCCCCTTGGTGATAACGATGTCGTTTCTCTTAGCCGGGGTGAGCTCAATGAACCTCTGGCAGGATGCGATGAAATGCTTGTCCTGACAGTAGGCACAGCAGTTCCTGGGAAGTAGTAGCCTTTCTGGCTCCTTATTTTCCTGCTGGTGAGTTGCTGCTGTATAGGTGCTCCTTTTCTTTGGTGGAGCTGACTTCTTTGTGGCTGTGATGATTTCCTTCGTCGATAACAGCGTTTGCACCTGCGTTGGTCCCTCTGCCGCAGGCCTCGATGAATGCCACGAACTCCTTAACGCTCGGGAAGTCCTTGGATTCTCCCAGCTGTAGTTCCCACTGCTTGAGTGTCTCTGCATCAAGAGATCTCCTCAGTAAATGGGCTATTAGCTGTTCAGCGATGTTCTCCTTTGTTGACACCGTCACGTCTTGCAGTTGATCGAGGGTCTGCAATGCTGCTGCTCCATTGACGCTGAGGTTCTCTTCTGTCGCTTGTGTGATTTTCGGCAGCGTCAGGATTCTGTTAAACAGCGACTGAGCGACGAGCCTAGGGTCGTCGTACTTGCTGGTGAGTTTCTGCCAAGCCTTTTCATAGTTTTCGTCCTTGGCCTGGAAGGTTGAGAGGACAGCTGCTGCAGAACCTCTCAGGCATCCCTTTAGTCTCACCAATTTCTGTACTGGTGGAATTAACATTACTTGTCCCACCAGTGACATGAAAAGGTCACTGAACTCTTTCCATTCCTCCGGTTTCCCATCGAATGGCTTGATGTCAAGACGCTGTAGCTGATTTGCCTGGTTTTGATCCGTTGAGCTGCTAGTTGAATCCTCCTTCCTTGCCAGTTGACCCTTCAGCCGAGCAATGAGCATCAAGGCTCGTCGTCTTGTCCTGGTGGCTCGTTCATGTATTCTCTCGTTGACATACTCATGATCAGGGGGAAGAAACTCGGCTAGATTGGCATAAATTTGAAAATATTCTTTCCATTCTGCCTCGATTATCCCTTTGTGCGCCTCTATCACCTCTAGGGTGAGGTTTGTAACGTGACATTTTCGTATGGGGGTCAAAAATGCCTATTACCGTCGCTCTTCTTCCCCTTCATCCAGTTAAACTCAAAATGCAAAAAATCTATGGGCGCCAGGTAATTTCTAGTCGGAATTACCAAACCGGAGGAGTCTACAAAATCAATTCTAATTAATTCCAAAACCTCAAAAATTTACTCAAAAAGGGAGGAAACAAGATTTCTGGGGAAAGGTAACGATCCTTGGTTCGCTCAGTGTGCTAGGTTGTGGACAGAGGTGTGGATTTCAGGTGGAGACGGGTATTGTGTGGTCAAAACTAAAAAAAAAAAGAAGAAATCGACATTGTCCTTACGTATTTCACTATTGAAATTTGTAAAAATTATTAACTTACATGATTTTCTCTTCGCATTGATCTCACCAAAAAAAAAGGTTTATAACAATAACTGATTAAATGACAAATACTGGCTTGGAAATAATACTTTAAAGTTTACTATATAGTCCGAAAATAATACTTCGATTAACTCGACCACAGGTGAGGTCATCAAATCCCTCCCACAATACTATAAAAAAAAATTATCGATTAATCCCGAAATACTCGAGAATGTCGAGAAATGAAGGGAAAGGTATGTGAATCCCCGTGAGAGTGAGAGAGCGAGAAAATGAAATCACCACTGCACGCATAGTGTACGGCGGACGGAAATAAAAATTAGCTGAAACTAAACTCGCCGTAGCGGAAAATCGGTAGAGTCAATTTTCAAAAACTCAAAGCCAATTTGCTCGGGAAGATCTCGCGAAGCCCATGAAACTAAAATTATAATTTTGGGATCATTGGGAACCTCTCCGGATTAATTTACCTCCGGAGGGAATTTTAAACGACGAAACACTTACGGGAAGCCAGATCCACCACTCGTCGGCGCGTCAGCGGGGAGCCGCTAGGGAAAAACCTCTACGCCATTTTTACGTAGGATGAGCTCGAGATACTCCTCGCCATAGGAGCGAGGGAGAAGGAAATAGCCCACGTCGGAAATCGTCAGATTTCGACTGGGAAAAGACGCAGGAATTCCAATACTGAACAAACCCACTCGCTGAACCCAAAAATCATATCAAAAGATGATAGGGATAAACCGGAAGTCGCGAGAACTCTTTACCGACCCGATTTGGGTGGAATCGCCGATCCAAAAATCGGGAGGACACACGGATAGAAAACCGGGATAAGGGATAATGCCCAAAAACAAACAAAAAATGCCAGATCAGAACCACTAAGTACCACAAAAGGGGGTGATCCACCACTGCACGTGGCTGAGGCCGCGCGAGGGATACCGCCATAACGGGGAAAACGACGCCATCCGGAAATGACTCGAAATTAGGGGAAAAATTCCAGAAAACTCACTGTTTTTTTTATGTTTAACGGTCCTTGTTCCTTTCCGGACCATCCTGAACCCCTGCAACTTCCCAATAATCACAAAATAATCCAGATTACGCAGTTGCGTTTGTGTGGGCACACAGAAGTTCACACGGGACTACTTATTGAGGACGGTCGACGCGGAACTGATTTCGGAGGTCAGTGCTGCGGCACACCGGGCCCTCGGGACTTCCGACCAACTACGGTGAGCGCTCATTGGTGGAGATAGTTTCTCCTCAAAGTCGTAACATCTGAGGGAGCCACCAAATAAATTCGGGGATTTTCGAATGCGTAAATTCAAATAAAAGCAAATTAATTCCTAACAATTATTTTTATAGCGGATGGAGGCTCGATCGATCCTAAAAATTTAAGATGCGTCTCACGAATCAAATCTCCGGGATTCACGAGGCAAAATTAATAATTAATTACGGATAGTTATTTCACAAAAAAAATAGAATAAACGTTTCCCCCCGAAACTCCAAGGCAACCTGGCAATTCACCGGGATTAAGGGTTGCGCTTACCCCAAGTGAACTTCCAACAAAACTAAAAAAAAAGACCCATTTTACCCCGTAATACCCAACTAAAATTCTGGAGCGCTAATATTTCAATTAATCCTATATGATTTCCGCGAGAGTTATAAAAGGGTTATTTCCACAAAAAGACCGGATGACTCTAAATATTCCTCTACAGCCTTCTTCTCGATCAAATTATGGGCTCTCAAAAATTATTTATCGATCATGAACTAATCAACAATTACCACACCGGAGTGGGAAAATGCTAAACCGAAAATGCTCTATCAGAATGGGAAAACGAAACTCAAAAATTCTCCATTGGAATAGGAAAACTAAACTCAAAAATTCTCCATCGGAATGGGAAAACTAAACTCAAAAATTCTCCATTGGAATGGGAAAACTAAACTCAAAAATTCTCCATCGGAATGGGAAATTTATACTCAAAACTCCACCGGAGTGGGAAAACAAAAATCTCCCTCTCTCTCACCCTAATGAATTGGTCACGGATAGACTTTTCCTGTCGTGGGGGTAGTTGTGTTCAGGTCTCGGTGGTGTTCCTAACGGACATCCCCACATGTTCGTTACAGGTCCTCTTCGCTTTCCACGTCCTGCGGGAGGTCATGCTAGATCTCCATCAGAGTCTCTACCTTGAATGTGAATAGTCTTAATTGACCTTCCTGCTACATGGTGAGTGCTATTTTTGAAGCGGCAGGCGTTGACTTTTGTTGAGCGGGCTCTTTTGATCCTGACGATCCACTTGGACTGTTGATTTGTTCAGGAGTGTTGATCGGCTTAGTTATAACTGCCTCATTTCTTGCTGGCAGTCCCTCTTCTTGGGTGACTTGCGCAATTCCCTCACTATCGCTCTCTGGTTGTTGAGTTTCTTCTTTGGATTCGTTAACCTTAGTGTCGTCTGCCATGGTGATTGTCCGTGCTAAGTTGTCAGTTTAGGTGAGTTATCGGCTGTTGAGAGTTGGGTGAGTTACCGACTGCCGAGAGTTGGGTGAGTTACCGACTGCCGAGAGTTGGGTGAGTTACCGGCTGCCGAACTTTGGTGAGTCACCTGTTACGTGGCGCACGTGGCCAAGCATTGGTGGGCTTCGGCGACACTCGTCACTCCCGAGCTTTCCCGATTTCCGACACTGATACACTCACTATGTCCTTTGTCACCCTGTTGCCCTTGCGGGTGTAAACAAAGCGAATATTCTAGAACTGTCCGTTGATTTGCCCGTGCGAACCCCAAAAGTTTGTTCGACACGAGGCGTTCCTTGAATTTTCCACAGCACTTTACAAACGTTTTCACCCATTATCCGACTCGATGGACCACTGTTTGGTGAATGTCTAGGGTTAGGGTGGATGTGGGATGAAAATGTGGAGGGAGATGTTGGGAAAATTACGTTTAACCGGATTTAAAAAATCACACTTTATTTCTGTGGGATCGAACCACTTGTCAATTATATTTACACTCTTTGCTATTTTCACTGTTGAATGTCTAATTGCACTGACAATTGTCTTCTCACCTTTAATTCGTTGAGTCACTGAATTTAGACTGAAGTTAATCAAGGTGATGTACTGAACAAAGATATTAAATTTGGAATACTAATAGACTGACTCTACTATCATTACCGTGACGATACTGAAACACAACTGATGTGACTGACTCTTCCGGGTGCCGCGCTAACCCGTATCCGTTGACCCGAGGGGTCACGGAGATTTTCGGAGATGGCCGAGTTAGTTGACCGTGACCGATATGGAGATTTAAGCTGCATTTCGAACAACGTCTTATGATGAAATAACCTAAATTGAGTAGTTTATTAAATAATTACAAAAATGTAATTAACATTATAATGTAATTATTTGATAAACTATTGGGTTTACGTTATTACACCATAAAACTTTTTTTGTAGAAAATTTGATTTTCTACAAAAAAGTTTTTTTGGCAAAATGCTGGGAACCCATTTGTTTACGAGATAGATGCCAAAACATTTTTTTTCAGCAAAATTTCACGAAAATCGAAAACCACACTCTTCCCATTTTTGAGGTCATCGTTTGATTGTGAATTATCTTTTGAACAAAGGATTTCATTGGATTTTGTCAGAAGACCTTTTTTGTGGTAAATTTAATTTACAACAAAAAATATCTTAAGAGAAATTTCCGTGACTTGTAGAATAACAGTGTTATGGTAGCAAGGATGAAATATAGAAGACTGACTTTACACGTACAAGGCACGTCTGCTCTCTTACTTTGTTTCCTTCAAACTAAGTGTACATGAGTGTTCTGTCTGCCGTCTGTCCTGTGGTATGAATGTGTCCGTGTCTTTAACTGTCAGTGCGTGTTTCTGCTGGAACATTCCCAACATAACTCTCTTTATTTTCGAGATAATTAGCAATTAAACAGTTGTCTCAAAAATGGGAAAGGGACGGGCTTTGATTTTCGTGGATTTTTTTGTTGAAAAACACTTTTTTCAATTATCTTGTAAACAAATGGATTTACAACATTTTGCAATTCAGCGTTTTTTGCAGGAAACCTAATTTCCTATAAAAAACGTCTGTTCGAAATACAGCCTAAATCTCCATATTGGTCACGGTCGACCAACTCGGCCATCTCCGAAAATCTCCGTGAACTTTCGGGTCAACGGACACAGGTCAGCGCGACACCCGGAAGAGTCAGTAGTCAGTAGTGTTAACGTATCGTTACGATAATGAGCTAGCGTATTCAGTCAAACAGTATTCTAAATTTAATATCTGTGTTCAGTACATCAACTTGTTGATTAAGTTCAGTATAATTTCAGTGACTCAACGAGATAAAAGTGACAAGATAATTATCAGACGCTAATAGACGCTAATGTACTGTGGTCTAAACTCTACAGAGTTGAATTCCATTTAAAACATGCTACACGACAGGCCGTGATGTACTAATTGGCGTTGATTTACGGTGACTCTACTAGACCTGAGCGTTGACCCGGAAACGGCCGATGATTTTCGTAATTGGCCTAGCTGATCGACTTTGGTCTTGGAGAAGTTGAGTTACGTTTCAAACAAGTATTTTTTTTGCAAAATGCTGTAAACCCATTTGTTTATGAGATAATTGCAAAAATATTTTTTTTCAGCAAAATTCCACCAAAATAACCAAATCAGAGCTCTGCGGATTCCGCAAACAATTGATAATTATTAATTGTTTACTCAAAGCGAGAGAGGAAAGAATCAATTTTTTTCTCTTTCGTAATCTTCTCCAAAAACATAATAAGAGCGACAGAGAAGTATCGTTCGTCCTCTTTCTCGCTCACGAGTGGAAGGGGAACTCTATCCCGCCTCCTGCTCAGTGGAAGAGGCATTACACCCATTGATGCGCGCAGCCACACGGACGTACAGCTGCTGAACGTTGTAGCGCCATTGGCTGTCATTCTCACCCTAATAACTCCTCAGGGGTGCTTCTGTTCAAAAAGTGGAAAAGGGCTTTTCTGTTCAGAATCACCACGTGAACCTGCCGGTTTCGGATCGGCATGTACCTCAGGGACACCCTGTATGCGCCCGACTTCAAATGCAAACCATCATTAGCAAAGTTTGATCTACGTGTTAATATCCACCGATTTAAAAAAAAATTAGCCACTAGTACGTCAACGATCACTACGTGAACGCGAATCGGGCTGCTTGCAGCTTTATGATGTGAGTTCAGTCCCTTCCCACCGCAGGGTAGTTCGGCAGGTCAAATTTTTTGCCTAGGCTCAATTTCTTTATATACGGCCGTTGTAAAAGCACCGCATGAGCCCGACACCTGTCTTTAGTGGAAAATTTAGGAATTATCTTTTGCATTTTTTTCAGAATTCAATTGGAGGTGAACAAAATTTTTTTCTCTGAATTATGGTCAGATAATTCCATAATCCCTCAACCAAATCGGGATGAAAAACGGCCAGATACCCAGCGTGCTAGAGGCATCTAAAAATCACTGAATTGACTACAAATGAGGATTTTCATTTTGATAAGTAATAAGTTTTCTGTTGACACAAAAATTAATTCCCTTCTTAAACCTCCCTCTGAACGGGTCACGAAGGGGAAACACCGAGGGATGTAATAATTAAGTCTTTAACAAATTATTGACACATTTAATCTCTACGATGCGTGTAGAAGTCCATAAGAAATAAAACTACACGGCGCAACCTTGAAAAATGATTCAAAAATTTTGAAAAAAATCACATGTACTTTTCATGTCATTGGTTATCCTTATCCAACACGAAAATTATGGAATTCAATTTTTTTTACATATGAGCCATCCTAGTGTATATGGTAGAATATGAAAGGCGTACTGCATTATGTACTTTTGAAGTCTGGCGAGACAGTTACTGCCGATCGCTATCGTCAACAATTAATAAGATTGAACCATATCCTGGCAAAGGAAAACGTCCAGTAAAATTGCTCCATGACAATGTCAGGCCTCATGGGGTAAACCGGTAAAAGATACGTTAATGGCTCTTGGATGGGGAATTGTGTCACACCCGGCGTATTTATCAGACTTAGCTCCAACTGATTTTCACTTATTTCGGAAGATGCAAAACGAATTGACTGATGTGTGAGAACATTTGAAGAAGTGCAAAAACGGGTCGATAATTTCCTCGCCTTGCAAGATGAAACTTTCTTTGAGGAAGGCATCTGTGAATTACCTAACAGATGGCTGAAGGTCATTCAAAATGATAGAGATTATTTTGATGAATAAATGTAGTTTACTTTTTTTCGAAAATGAATTTTAAATTTTTTGCCAAGTGTCCTAAAACTTATTTGTACACCTAATATTTGATGCTGTAATTGGCCTGTGCTGTTGGATCTTTATGAAATAAAAATGAAAAATGAAATGAAAATGAATGAACTGGCGCACAGCGTCAGCGCTGTGCACCCCAGCAACTGGCCTTCAGTGCGTCACCAAACACCTTACAGGTGTACGGTGGGGATGAAGGACCGGATCTAATGCGAATTTACGAAGTGAATAAATACTCATAAATTCGTATTCCCGTGACCAATAATTGGACGCATCTTTCATACTTGTTACCACTTTGTATCTAGGTTCGCCTGATACCTTTCGTATGAGAACGAACTTTCAATCGTAAAAAATAGTTTTAATAATCGTAGAAAATCAATCTTTATTAACGATTAACTATTTTTTAAATTTATCCTTGAGTGATATTCGCTTTTATTGAACCCATCCGCTCGATGGCATTATAATAAGATTTTGAAAAATTGCAGCTTTTGTCATATGATATAGATAAACAATAATATGTTTGGCCATTAGGCTAAAAAAACTCTTCTGGCGACTATGGGGTTGTAATCATATGAGCTAGAAAAGTTTTTTAGGCCGTATGTCGAATGATTTTTTTTGTCATTCCGGCCGTAGAGCAGTGCTTTAGGAACGCGTAGCGTAGCGTCACTGCTGCCTTAGGCCAGAATGACGAAAATGATATTACAGAAGCGAAAATTTACCAGCAAACCTGGTAAGGCACCGTCCAGAAATAATATCCAAGTGCTGTTCAAGAATTTTTAATCCTTCGAATAATGAATGTTGCGCCATGTTTAACTAGCGATACTAGTCCTGACTCGGTTGTGAAAGATCAGGGATGATTCATCAAGGCATAGATTATTCGACTATTACCCAATCCATTATATCTCATTAGCCGGAGACGGTTGCCACAGTACTAGTTGTCGGAATATCTATCATTGATAACTTGATGAGGAAAACAAATGAGAATAATTTTTATTCCATCACGTAGATGATTCAACTATCCCACCAATACCATTACCCACCACACAATTCTTAATGCTATCGATTCAAATCTTACCTATGACCTTCATTTCGAATATATTCTTCGGTTATTGAGTTTGTGAGTATAATTTCGACTACTTTCAGTTTCAGTAATTGTAATGCATTTCACTTTTTTCCAATGAGCTCTGAACTATCCCGCAGCTTACCATGCCCTGTTGCCTGTTTTTGAATAAACCGCAATTAATCCCCCCTGTTGTTATGATCACCTACACAACGATTCTCATGTTTTTTTTTTAAATCAATCCACTCTATTTACTAGAGAAGTTTTTTCCTTTCCTTTGTGACTGTCCCCCTGCTTGCGGAGAGTAGATGAAACGCTTTACTCTTCTCGGCAGCTCGTGCGAGCATGCCTGCACCTCAGCACACCGAGCATAGGTTGACAAACTTGTGCTATAATTCTGTTTGGGGTAGAGCCACTTTCTAGCAAAGGGAGGGCCTTACAGTTTAGATACCGAAGTCAATTTTTGAAAGCAACTTTACCCTCCATGATTGCCTGGAAAGGAGCTAAGGAGATTTGGTCCAAGGACCGAAGGCCATGAATGATTGTTAATGCCGACTACTGATTAACTATCATTTTGTGGCAAGTGTGTTGAACACTTCTTTGATTAAGCATCAAAGGGAAACTTTTTATGCATTTCTCGCTCAATCGTAGTAGCTACGCTTAAATTATCATTACCGGCTGAAGGATGGCTAAATTATGGCTCAAGTTCTTTTAGTAATGCTCACTAAGCCAGGATTGTGCTAAACTTGATCGAATCATTAAAACTCAGCGTTTACTACCTGGAATAAATTCTTTGTAGATAATATCGTGAAAAATCATGGTTTATCTAATTTTTTTTATTTTTAAAGCGATTTTTGTGGAGATATTCGAGGGAAACCTCGAATTTCATCTGTCATCTATATCAACAGTGTTTTTTATGATGAATTGAGGTATACATTTCTAATATCGATTTATTTACATGCTAAACAAGCGCTACAAGAAAAAAATCCTACTTGGGATTGTTTTTCTCCATGATTATCTTTGACACCTGGACTATGGCGATAATGAATGCATTCTCATTATGCATTTTTTTATTTCAATTAGAAAAGTAAACAGAACAAATAGGGATTCGCTCTACATTTCCTCTCCAAATAATATCTCTTCATTTCAATTATCTTAAAATCTAAATTTTGTTCCATCTCAAAGACTGCTGCCGTATTCGCTAGATCCTCGCCGATCGTTGTGTTTGATGTAAGTCTCCGAGTACATGCTCTTCGTTCGATCGTCGTACCTGAAATTTAAAATACCATTCAGTTAGAGGAAAAATTGATTCGTGTGAAGAACACATTATCAGATCGAATTCATTTCAAATGAATTAAATGCACTCATTACTCATAACATTCATACAAATTGAAAACTTCTATTCATATTGAATTATTTCATCAATGTCGTGAAAATGACTGACCCATTATGAGTGCAAACCAGTTAAACATACTATCTAAAATAAGTAAGTAGGGTAAGGTTAGGAACTTTTGGAATTGAATCCTTCAAGTGAACTGTGATACAATAATACACAACTATGTCACTACTGTAAATGATGAATTGTCTCGAAATTTTTAAATATTTTGTGCACTTAATTGGTAAGTATAGATTAAAACAACAACCGAAAGCATAACCGGGGCTCTCTAACTCAATTATTAGCGAAGACATTGAAAATCATTTTTTTACTTTCGATTCTTTTTTTCATTTTACTCGTAATTATGAGTTACTTTACAGAAGAAAAGAAATTAGAACCCATAGATTTCGCCGGAAATTTTCTCATTTTTCGAGAATAAAATATCTTTTGTAACAGAAAGTATCAAACGGTCTTATAGTGTCGTTCCTTCTTTTTTTTCTGACTATGAAGTTCCGAAAAGTTGTCGAGAATAACATATTTTTATTTCTGGCGCTCTGAATGAAAAAACAAATTGGACAGTGAACACAAACAGCCACACACCACAGCCACACGCACGCACGCACGCATACACACACACTCATAGACATGCACTGCCGAGCCGAGGTTTGTCCTTTTGAGGACATCTTGGTGGAGTAACCCAAAGCTACGGCGACGGTTCCTCTGGTGACGGATAGGGGGCGTCATCACTGGGGCAGCTTGCTGACCCGGCGTACTGGAGTCAAATATTAGGTGTACAAATTAATAAGGTGCCCCTATATTTTGCGGTTTATACATAATTGCGTTCAAAAATTTAATATATCAATATTTTGTATGTGGGTAGTATTCAGTAAATACTTCTTACATAACTTTAAAAAATAGTAGTCAATACGAGGTCTGTCGATAAGCAACATTTGAGGCACTGCATTCTTTTTGCATTTCAATTAAAGAAAAATGCTGCCGAGGCTACTCAAATGATTTGTTGTGCTCTTGGAAAAAACGCTGTAATACATAAAACGTGTAAAAAGTGGTATCAGATGTTTAGAGATGGAGATTTCGCTCTTTCGGATCGAGAAGGGCCGAGTCAGCTGCAAAAATTCGGCGATGAAGAACTCGAACAACTCTTGGCTGAAAATTCTGCTCAAAGCAAAACAGAGCTTGTACTACAACTCGGAGTGACTCAACAATGCATTTCTCATCGCCTACATCAACTTGGCAAAATTCAAAAGGAGGGTAGATGGGTTCCTCATGATCTGAGGCCCGAAAATAAGGAGCGACGACTGGAGACGGTGCTGTCTCTGTTCAGTCGATTGAAAAGAAAAGATTTCTTATAGAAAATCATTACGGGCGATAAAAAGTGGGTGTTATACGACAATCCTGAATCAAAAAATTGTGGGTGAATCCCGGCGAACCATCGATGTCGACTCCGAAACCCAATATCTATGCGAGAACAGTAATGCTGAGTATCTGGTGGGATATGAAGTGTGTGATATATTATGAACTACTTAAACCTGGCCAAACTGTTACTGCGAAGGTTTATCAACCACAGCTTATTCATTTGAATGGTGCATTAGAGCAAGAGATAGAAGTAGACAAGTGATTCTCCAACAACGCTCGACCGCATATCGCCAAAGCGACTAAGGATATTTTCTATGAATTAGGATGGGAGGTTCTCCTTCACGCGGCTTACTCGCCTGACTCGCCCCATCAGACTACCATTTATTTCGGTCTTTTCAACATCACCTAGCTGATGAGCACTTCAAAACAATCGACGAGGTCCGAAAAAGCATCGATGAATTTATTGAGTCAAAACCACCAAGTTTCTTTCGCGCAGGAATTCGTCAGTTGTCAACGAGGTTGAATAAAATCATCGAAAATAATGTAGAATATTTCGACGGTTAAATGTCTTCTTGTTTTTTTATAATAAACTCTGATTTCCAGAATAAAAGCACTTTATTAATTTGTAAACCTAATAAAATAGCTCCCGCGGATCAAAAGAGGCGTGAGGGGTGGGCTCCCTGTAACAGCCTACAACAATGTGAATAGGGTGTGGCCTCCTTTAACGACCTATAGTAACAATGAATAGTGATGAGAAAACACTAAGTTCCCATGCGGGTATCCCTGAGAAGGTAAATCCCAATATCAGTTCTGATCGAATGAAAGCCTCGGTGGCTGATGCCGGCTCGATGGATTGTGGGAGGAGTCAATCATCACATTCGAGAGATCAATCAAGGATGACCACTTGGCCCAGTGTGCTACAAGTGAGAGAGGGTCTTTGACCCAAGGTGAGGAGTTAGTCATCATCTTGGCCTCAGATGTTACTAGGAATGTCGGGCCTTAGACCAATAAAACAGATGGAGGTGGGCTGTCGGCCCAGCAATAGAAAGAGTGGCACCATGGATGGACGCGTCTTCAGAAGCTGGTTCCAGAGCTTTAAACGTTCATGCAGCCCAGACCGAATGTACATGAGGAGCTAAAGTCAAAGATGCTATCGGTCGTTGACATCCCGATCTTCGACGTCCAGAGGCTTAAGGACTTGGAGAAAGTCTGAGCATCAAACCCAGATGTCGCCGCTTTGCCGGCACAGGTGCTAACACCATTACCATCACGTTCGTGGAACTCGGAATCGACACTCAATGAAACGGAGACGGAGGGGGGATCGGAATCGACCGATACAGATTCCAATATTCACAAAGCATTGCGGAGGAAGCGAAGCTCGAAGGGCTCCCGTAGAGCGGAGGATAAGACAGTGGAGAAGTCAAAGCGGAAGGAATCGACCCACGACGAGATACCACCAAAGCCGCCTGCCAAGCCACCAGACTGGAAAACGGTGACGAACAAGAAGGAAAAGCGACGTGAAAAGCAGCCTCCCGAGCCGGCGCAACGAAAAAGGGATAACAAGAGGAAGACATGGAAACCAACGCCCAGACATAGTGCGTTGATTATCCATCCGAAGGATAAGGAGAAGTTTTCGGAAATCTTCACCCGAGTGAAGAAAGACGTCCTAGCAATCAATGTGAATGCGTCGACAAACTGCGCAGAACCGCAACGGGCGATATACTCATCGTCCTAAGTAAGAAGGCAACCGACGGAACCTCTCAGCTGTATGTAACCATCTTTGATCTCCACGGAGACGAGGCTGAGTTGCTAAGTAAAGAACAAGAGGAACTCGAGATCAAGGACCTCGATGAGGCCGCGACGAGGAGGGAAGTGTTTGAAGCTCTGAAAGCGGCAGCTGGAGACCAATATGACATCAGTCCAGGAGCGACCAAGTTCTTACGTAAGGCATATGATTGAACGCAAACCGCCTCAGTGACCGTAGCAGCGACCGCAGCGAAGAAGATTCTGGGCGAGCATGGAAAGATAAAGACAGGGTGGGTGAACTGCCGCGTATAAGGAGTGGACAGACCGGTCAAGTGCGTCAAGTGCTGGCACTATGGACATCTCGTCACGAAATGCAAGAGCATAGTTGATTGTTCGAAACTCTGTGTCGAGTGTGCCGAAGATGATCACAAGGTTAAAGACTGCAAGAAGGAGCCACGATGTGCTCTTTGCACCGAGAACGATAATTCAGAGAATTGTGCCCACATTGTTAGTAGCAGTAATTGCCCAACATACAGAGAGGCACTCCAGAAGCTCACTAATAAAAGGCGATAATAAACTGTTAAACAGCAAGGTGCTACAGCCCAACCTCAATCACTGCTAGGACTCACACGATCTGCTCATGCAAACGGTGCGCGAGCTGAAGCCTGACCTTGTGATGATCTTAGAGCCATACCTACATTTGGTACCCAAAGATGGGTTACTGACATCAGTAAAAAGGCTACTGGGTTTGTGGGAGTCGACCATTTCAGAACATAACGAGTAGTATGCAGAATGGCTTAGCGAAGGCCAAGTTCAATGGAATCTATTTCTACAGCTGCTAAGCCCTGCTGAACCTTTCAGTGGTTGGGTTTATGCACTTCCTGGATAGTTTGACTGAGGATGCGAAGCAGCACTTTCCGGTGGCGATAGCCGGAGTCTTCAACGCCTGGGCAGTCGACTGGGGAAGTAAGAAGACCAATGCTACGGGACAAGCCGTCCTGGAAGCCATGACATCACTGGATGTGGTATTGCTGAACAGTGGCAATATACCGAATTTCATGAGGGAAGAGGCGAGCTCAATTGTGGATATTACCTTCGTGAGCAGCAACCGTACAAAGGGAAACTGCTCATGGAAGGTAACCGACATCTACCCTGCTAGCAATCATCGTGCAATACTCTTGGAAGTATCCGCCGGCCAGAGGATCTGACCAAAGCCCAAGCAGACTACTGCAATTGCCTGAAAAATGAGCACCTTTGATCCGAACACATACCTAGTTGCTTTTTACGACCGTCCAATCAGTGGCAGGAATGCTAAGGACAGAACGGACGACATTATGAGGCGACTCACCGAAGCCTGCGATACTATCATGCCCAGGAAATGGGACAATAACCGGCACCCACCAGTTTACTGGTGGAATAACACCATCGTCGTTCTGCGTAAGGAGTGTAACATAGCAAGAAGAACGTTCCAACGTGGCCGAAACAAGCCCATTTCCGAGGACTTGGACATGCGCTATAAAAAAGTACGAAAAAAGCTCATCGAAGCCATAATGTGCAGCAAAAAACAATCATGGAATGAGCTCCTTGCAGAAGTGGAAACATATAAGGTCGTGAAGATGCGACTTAAAAGTCAGCCGATGCCATCTCCGACGTGTCCGGATCTCGAGAAGATCGTCACGGTACTGTTTCCGCAACAGCCAGAGCTCCATCGTATGGGCGAATGGAGAGGAAATGTAATGGTTCCAATAATAACCAAAGAAGAACTAGTGGAAGCG